AAAATCTCAAAAAAAAAAAAAAAAAAAAAAGAACACTGGCTGCAAATTTACCTTCACTCTATATCCCTTTCAATTTCTCTCTAGAGACTACACCTATACCTCCAAGAAAAGGAGGAAAACACTGGGCTTTGAGGAAACAAGGTAAAAAAACAATCTGTAGAAGAAATAAAACCCCTAAAGCCTAGGCATCTGCCAACTCACTGGTGAGAGTCCAAGCCCATCAGTCAGGGGAGGCCCAGTCAATGGGTGCACAAGACACGTTCAAGGGCAGAACTGAGAAATCCAAAGTAATTGAGTCCCAAGGAGACTGCGGCAGGTTCTGGCCACCCTAAGCTCCTGCTCACAATCTGCTCTCATATGGCAAGACAAAAATGACCACCCCATCTTTTCAGCCCCTTTGGGAATCCCTGAAACAGAAGCAGTGCCGACCCCCATCCTCCACCAGATGCAACTGATTCACTGTCCTTCATCACCTGTCTTCCCTTAATCATTTTTTAAAAATAGAACTACTGAGGAAACTAGTTTTCATGCCAATTGTACTGCTGCTCAATCCATTTGTTTTCCTGCTCAGCATTTTAAAAACTCGAAACCACAGCCTGTTCTGCAACTGGGGGAACACCCAGAGGGAAACAAAGGAAAGGGAATAGGAAAAGGAACACACAGGGATGTGTCTGAGTGTCAAAATAAACATAAATCTCAGAAGGGGAAGGGACGGCTTACAAAGAGCATGTGATACTTCAAAGTAGGTGTCCTATTTGGTCTGATTGCTAAATTGTGCCCACTAAAGCAATCAAGACATAAAAAAATTGCAGAGAAGATGTTTAAAAGTCCCCAGGTTACTATCACTCTCAAAATCTCAGAGGAGGAAAGGAGGCACTACTAACTCTCAATTGTATCCTACTTGAGCAGGTTCAGCAAATGAAAGCAGGCTGGCCGGCAGGCCAGGCCCAGTCTGCAGTCTGTTTTCCTAAGTGAGATTTGCAGACTTCCAGTCTGCAAGGTGCGATGCTGCAGCACAGACGTGAGACGTAGCAACTCACCAGTATCCCCTTCAAAGCTAAAAATCTAATGTTTGCTGGCCACTGTCCAAAATATCCTAAATAATCTTTTTAACCCTCACAATATCTGATTTTATTGGAGGAAAGGAGGCATAAATACCATCTGTGTTTCTCATCCAGGACTGCAGAGCTAAGAAAAAAAGTCTAATCCCTAAACCTTTTTTTTCTTTTTCTTTTTTAAAGAATTATTTAATTTTATTTATTTATTCATTCATATATTTTAACTTGACCAGAAGAGAGACACAGAGAGAGAGTGAGAGAGAGAAAGCAAGCCACCAGGTCCAGGACTTGAACCATGATCAGCCATGTGGGAATGTCCAGTGCCTCAACTACCATGCCACCTGCTGGCCCCCATTAAAATTTTTTTCTATGAAAACCACACCTAGAACCTGCACTTTGGCCAAGCTGGTGTAGTCAAGTGTCCGGAGAACATGAAACTGTTTTCCTCCACTCCTATGTTCTTGACCCTGGATATCTGACCCAGTCCTCTGACCTGCTACAACTCTCTCCTCGCTCATGGGACAACCCTTGGATCCTATCTCTTGCTTTCCTCACCCCCCAGACTCTGCCTACCTGGATGGGGCCCCCACAGCAAAGGATTCTGCACACACTGCAGTGGTGCCATTCTTAGAGGCCTTGGGTGGTTGTTAATGGCTATTTTTATAACACAGATGCACGGCTTCTCCTTTAAACCGGATGGTGAGGCCTTCACCTTAGGACAATGTCCTGCAGAACTGAGTCCTGACCCCTGCTGTTTTACAAACGAGGACCCGTGTGTTGATGAATTTACTTACACAGCTAGCGATAAAACAAATGTGTCCTGACACAGACACTTGCAAATAAATGACTGCACAGGTGGCACTGACCATCAGGACAAACACAGGGAGCTTACTTAACCACTTACTGACGTGGAGTTTAGGGCAAGTCCATGATGATTCTCTCGTCAAAATGTTAAGACAACAGCTGGCCTGGGGTGTACCCAACAAGCTCCATGGCCTGTGCATGGGGGCAAGTTCATTCAGGCTCCCATAGCAAGGCTAAAAATACGCTTGCGAGCTTTTCTTTTCATGGAGAAAGTCTGGCTATTTTTAACTCCAGGACTACTTTAGCATCTGGTAGACAGAGAGGTCTGACAGATTATTGTGATAAACTTACCGCAAATTCAGATAAGCAAACCTTCTAGTAGCAGACTTTTATGTTCTGCCCTTTTGTGGGAAGCAACCAAATTTTCTGTGCTAATACAATTAGATGACAGATACAGATAGATGGTAGATAATAAATGATAAATGTCAATAGACAATAGGTAGATAATAAATGTACAGATGATTGACAGAAGACTGACAAGACAGGTATGATAGATAGATAGATGGATGGATCATAGATAAAAATATAGGCAGAAGCTAGCAGTCTGCCTCTACTCAATCTCACCCTCCCAGAAGCCTCCTTGGTTTCTGTTCAAGGCTTGACCTACAATCAATGCCACAATATCACCATGGAAACACAGGGAGCTCTGAAAGCACATGGTGTTTCTCCCTCATTTTACATCAGTTCAAGTTGAACGATCAATCGGCTGCTCCTTTTCTCTCCTCCTGACTGTGGCTCTGTAATAGCACTCGGTCTTCAGGGTGAAGCTGTAAATTAAAGGCACAAAGGCTACAGGAGAGTGGAAGCAGTCCTCCATGTAGCACTTCTCAGCGAGGTTTTATTCCACATCCATTATTCCACAGGCATATCCCATGGCTTAGAGCAGGCTAATTAACTGTTCTTTGAACCTGGAGGCTAATGCAACATCATTCAAGGAGCTCTTGAAAAGTCTCCTCCAGGCACTGGGAGGAGCCTCTTAGATGCTGTGTATAGAGACTCTTGCTCCTTAAAAATAGGTGCTAATGTCAAAAGACTTAAACCACAGAATCTCTTGCTTGAGGATTTTCCATATAAAATTCCAAGCAGCACATTTTCCATGCTTCAGTACTCAAGATACTCATTTAAAGAATAACAAATTATGGCAGAAAAGTAAATGCATAAATTGTAACCTCCATGAGGAGAAAATAAAAATAGTATTTGGAAACTTTCTATTTAGTGAAAAAATGCTACTTATATGTTATTCTTAAACAAATTCCATAAGGCTTACACTTTAGCAATAGAATTAAAATGGTCATGAATTCTGTTGGAAAGAAAAGAGATTTACAGATAGTCACAGATTTAAAGCGAAAATGCAGGTGAAGCAAAATGGACAACATGAGGTTGAACTAACACTGAAACAGATGAGATAATTCTTTCCTTCTCAAAAAGGAAGAATTTTTTTTCTTACTTAAATTTCAGGGCTTAACCCGAGTCTTAGAAAGTGAAGTAAAAGTCAGCCCAGCAAATGCAAAAGTTAAAATGACAGCAGAAGACACCTTGGTTCCTCTATCTTGGCTTTTGGCCCAGGCTGGCAAACTAGTACCTACTGGAATACCAACTGGCCCTGCAGATGTCTGGCTCAAGACATGGAAACTAGAAGAGCCTGGAGGTCCTCAGGCATAAAACGTACGGGGCACAGAGCTCCTTCCATGGCAGGGATTAGTTCAGAGTAAACAGACCAGCTTCACAGTGATGGTTTCCATTCTTGGTGTCAGGAGTTTGTTTTATTATTTAATGCTGGAACGAATGCTTTATATAACAAAGCAATCATTCCCATGTTTGGAATTTTATGGCTGTCAGGAGGTTTCACTGCATTGCACTAAGCTGATTGCTTTATAAGGCTGAGGGAGCACCCTGAGGTCTCCCTCCCTCTCATGGAGATGCTGGAGGCTGGATTTTGGCTCTGTGATAGTTTTTCTTTTCTCTTGTGTGCACCATTCACCTGCATAACTGGGCTCTCTTCATCTCCTAGCAAACTGAACTCAGCCAGGGGCCCTGAACAGGTCAGCTGAGAAAGCATAAACCTCGCTTCCTTTTAATAGTTGAAAAGGACAGAAACACAGAACGTACAATGTCTCAGAGAGCATGAAGAATGGAAGAAAATGTGTTTTACAAAACTGAACAAGTACTTATCTACTATTTGTTATCTATATCCAAGCTTACAACAGACCCTTGGGTTGGATGGGAAGGCTGGGGAAGCAGACCTGCTAAATAGTCCCCAAGTCGTAAGTGGTATTGAGCACCCTCTTTGGAGGTAAGGCCAAAGAAAAAAGACTACAGAAACACAGAAATGCTAGAGAAACACAAAACTTCAACCGTTTAAAAATCTGGTTACTCTTCTCTGATTCTACGGTCACCCCCTGATCCCAGACGCCATCAGCTTCCTGAATTGCTCAAACACTGGCTGCTCACAGCCCTGGGAGCTGCAGGCACCTGAACCTCCTGTGCACTATCCACGTGGCAGCCAGAAGACTCTCAAAAAATGGACATGTGATCATGTGACCCTCTATCTGAAACACGTCAAAGACTTCTTATTGCTTTTAGGATGAAGACCGAATTTCTAATAGGGCTACAAGTCCTTTCCAGACATGGCCACTGTTTGTATCATTTCACAGTTAACCCAGTCTGCCTTTGCTATAACCTACACCACTTTTTTTTTATTGCTGTTTAATTTTTCACATGCATATGCTACATTTCTAGTGTAAAACTTAGAAATTTAAATTCCACAAAGATATTTTAAATACAGTAACCAGGGAACTAACAGATGGCGTAATGATTATGTTGCTGGACTCTTACATAGTCAACCATGGTTCATGTCTTGGACCCAGCAGCTTAAAACTCACTCCAGGCATGTGTGTGTGCATGCCCAAAATCCCAAGAGGAGAATGGAAGAGAAAAGACTATAGCATGACCATCCCCCTGGGAAGGGAGGGAGGGGGCTGGCTTCTTTCTGTCTCTCTGGCAAGGGCATGTAACCCTATAGCAAAAATCTCTCTAAAATTTTTTAAAAATAAGGTAATCAGGATGAACATAAAATCTACAAAGAAACTAAAATTACTAAAGTTTATTCAAATAATTAGTAAGAGAAAATTCTCTAGAACTACAGATTAACATGATATGGAATTTTTATGTTTATGTGGATGAGTGATCATAAGGTTTCTTAAAACATCTAGTGAATGGTATGGACAAAAAGAATATATTTAGTTTTTTTTTGAGAGGTTTTTGCTATAGGGCGCGTGCACTTGCCAGAAAGACAGAGAGAGACAGAGAGACAGAAAGCGAGAAATCACCCCCCAGGGGGGATGACCACACCGCAATCCCTTCTCCTCCATTCTCCTCTCGGGATCTTGGGCATGCACGCACACGTGCCCAGTGTGAGTTTTAAGCCACCGGGTCCGGGACACAAACTGCGGTCAACTACATGGGAGTCCAACAACATAGCCATTATGCTAACTGCTGGTCCCAAGAAAATCCATATTTTAAATAGCAACTGTATCAAATCTTATAGAGTGGGTTAAGCTCTGTATATGGGGAGCCAGATCCCACATGGCCAACTGCAGTTTGAATTTCATCTGTGGTGGCTTAAAAAATATACCAGGCACGTGTGCATGCATGCTCAAAACCAGGGGTGGAAAAATGGAGGAAAAGATTTCTGAATGGCCACACCCCCTAAGGGGTGCTTTCTCTCTCTGGTGAGTGTACATGTCCTCTGGCAACGAAAACAGAGAAAAATGGGATAATTGGAATGTGTCTTTTGTAAGCAGAAAGATTAAAAAAAAAAGAGAGACTAACAGAAGTTTACTAGTCTGCAGAAGACTTGAAAATAAGCTTCTGATATTAAAAGAAAGTAACTCTCAATATTAAAGTCCTGGAAGATCTTAAAAATAAGATTTCTCCAATGGAACTTTTTATATTTTCAGAATGCTGCTGCAGCTTGCTATATGGGTTCTATTCATCTGAGGCTGCTTCCTGTTCTGCTCTAGCTACTCCGCCTCCCCATCCTACCACCTCTCCAGGTCCCTGGCCAGTTCAGGACAAGGTCAGTGACTCCACACAAAGGCCCCATGAGACGCCCCGTGGCCATGCCAGCTAGTGAGCCCAGAAGATTTAAATATGCCAGTTACAAGCAAAACTGTTGTAATAATTTACTAAAAATTCTTCATAAAAGGACGTGTAAGTTGTTCAACATTTTCTAGGATTTAGATCCTAGACAGAAAGGGAGGAAAGAAAAGGCCCCGCTGTAGGAAGAAAGATCAGAAGAACATGTTCATATTAAATAAAGCCACTTCCACGTCTCAGGATGTTGATTCTCAGTATTACACATCTCAAGTGTTACAAGTAAGTTGGTTTTACTAGATGCTGTGTTTACTTTTTTGATGAGGCAAGAGGGGGAAGGGCGA